TTTTTTTTTTCTAGAAGCTTGAACATAGTATTTTGTCAGCCTTGCTTTCCATTCTCCATGTTCTTTCTTACACTTCATCAAATCTGTTGGTGATGCTTTCTACTGTGATTTTTATTTGAGTCACTGAGTTTTTTTTGTTTCTAACATAGCATTTCCCCCTAAGTGTCAGGTTTTTTTTTTTTTTTTTTTTTTAACCAATTTTCTCATGTACATTGCTGGTTTTCTTTAGGTAATGGCTGCTGTTCTTCTCTAGGTAAGAAGAACTTACTGAACTTACTGCGGTTGACACCCTCTTTTGTGTCTATGTTCACTGTTAAGATTTGGAAACCCAGTGTTCTGTGTACTCCATTATTGTTGAACTCAGGGGCGGAGTAGCTGTGAGCTTCTCAAGGAGACAGGTTGCCAGGCATTGTCTTGCCCTTGGTTTCTCTATTGCTCTCTGAGTGTCTGTTGGTTTGGATGTGTCTTCTGGCTTGGAGGTGAGGGGGATCCTTTTATTGAGCATCTTACCTTTAAAGCATCAATTACCAGTCTCACTCATCGAGAAGAAAGCCAGCTGCCATCTCATAGCAACATCAGCACACACGGCCCCTAATAATACCTTTGAAATCAATGACAGCCCACTAACTAATACATCACAAGATGCCGTAAACCTGAAAATGGACACATTATGTTCTCTAGGTTTAAATTATTTAAGCTAAGTATGGAAATAGTAAATGAATAAAATAATGGAAGGAGACAGGTGGGCAAAGAGGAGAAACAAGGTTAGAGAAAAGAAAGGTATAGAGAGTAAAAAAAAAATAGCAAGAGATTAGAAAGATAAATGAAAAAGGGAGGGGTCCTTCTCAATTACAAGAAAACTAAAAATCAATAGCAGGTCAGTGGCTGAACATGGTGGTACACACCTGTAATCCCAGCACCAGGGAGGCACAGGCAGGCAGATCTCAGTGAGTCCAAGACCAGCCTGGTCTACAAATTGAGTCCAGGACAGCTAAGGCTACACAGAGAAACCCTGTCTTGAAAAAAAGTGTAGATAAGTGTAAGAAGGAAATAAGAAATACAAGAGTTGAAATCAGTGCTGCAGAATGCATAGAAAGGATGGAGAAGGCAGCACAAGAGTGTGAAGAGAAGAGCACCATCCAGTGGCGAGACACCGGATCTGAGGGTTGTATGAATGGGACCACCAGGGAAAACCTTTAAAAGGTAGTGACATCTCTGCATCTTTTGCAATTTGTAGATAGAGGGCAGACCTTACAGAAGGACAAAAGAAAGCTCACAAGAGTGCAAAGACCTGTTGTTGGAGCCGCTTCTGTCTGGGTCCTTGAGACCTGGAGATGCCAGTTGTAATCATAGAAATGGGAGTTGAACTGCACTCCCTTGTCTCTCCTGGGCTTTATGCTGCTTTTGAATCTGTGTTGAACAAGGGTCTGCTGTCTCCAGAGCTGTCCTTACTCCTTCTTGGTGAACCAAGGGCTTCTGCTAGCCACAATCAGCTTTGCATCCCATGGGAGGGAAGGTCCCAGTCTTCTGAGGCTTCCAGGTTCTGTGTTCTTGGCTCAGGTTTTAGCTCAGGAGTGTCTTCTCACAAATACCTTGGGAGTGTGAGAGGCAGGCACAGCAGTAAGGTCAGTGCAAAGCAGAGGCCCCGTCTTGAGACTTTGAAGACTTCCTGAGTACTGATCCCAGTAACGCAGGCAGGTGGCTGTAGACGGGAGATGCCCTGGAGCCTCCCAGCTCTGTAAATGAACAGCAGACAACTGCATGCGCTGGCCTCAGCTCAGAGCTGTAGAGCCCTGGTTGATTTCCCAGCTGGTGAGGAGGGCTTCTGGGCACCGAGGGCAGTGCCGCCTCTCCTTACACATTGCTTAGCCTTACTTTTGTCCATAACATCTTCTCTGCCCCTCACTTGTGGTTGGTTGTTGGTCTCAGGTCCAGGGGTAGCTCAGGCTGGCTGTTGGGTGCTACCCTCTGAATCTTATGTTGTGACAATGGTATTTCTAGTCACCACTGACTCATTTGCCATAGGACTCACCATCTTCCCCAAACCCCTATCACTGGATTTGAGCTTTGAGGGCATGGGCTTATCCTGGGGTCAGGACTGGGTTTGAGGGTTGAGGACCATGGGCATATCCTGAGGGCAGGACAGCCAGGTTTGCATTCTGAGGCCACTTCTACCCCTCAGCTTGCCAGGGACTGTTTCCTGCAGGGTGCTTCTCTCGCTCTCTGTTCCTCACATTTTCCTCCTCTTTTCTAGCACCCTTTTCTTCACATACTTTGTAGCCTTCCAGAGCCTTCTCCTCTACTAGTAGAGTAGGTAGCCTCTACTCCTAACCTTCCTAGAACCCTGTGTTTAGTACCTTGTATCTTATTTTTGATAATAAAAGCTGGCTTTAATTTTAAAATATTTTCTTTTGTCTTTTGTAATGATTGTAGTGTCATGTGAGTAGTATATTCTTGTTGTTTATAATTTGTATAAACTTTTAACTTTTTGTTTACAAATATTAATGGTAGGTCACTGCTTTAGACTTTAACCTGTTGTATGGCCAGCACAAAGGCAATATGTACACATCTTTCAGATTTCACGGCTGTACATGTATGCTCCTGACTATCTGTGAAACCCATGCCTTAGGGCCTGCTGGCAGATAAAACAGGGATGCTATGGACTCCTTTGGGCTTCACACCTGTGTCTGTCCTCACCAGTTTTGATTAGAATGTTCCTCTTTTTATATTAGTATCTAATAATATAATCATCTTAATGCAATTATCTATATTGCATTCAGAAAGAGGAAAATGGAAGAGTGAAATTACTGTGTTATTTTTCATTTTAAAAATGATACTTTTAAGGTTTTATTTAAAAGTTTAGTAAATTTTATCTTATGAAAGTATTTCATGTTCTTTGAAATTAGGTAACTATTTCATCAGTCATTTGAGCCTGTAATCACTATATATGCAGAGCTGAAATAGAATCACATTTATTGTATTTTAAGTGTTGAGGAAGAGATAAAGAATCGTGGAACTTATGGTTTGATAAGAGACCTTCAAGGATTTAGCAACTGGAACATGAATTATAAATCCTTCTCCAAACTGGCTTTTATTTTTTATTAAATGATGGCTCTTTTAAATGAACCAAAGGAGACAGAGCTTGATTGGCATGATATTATCAGCATTTTTTTGGATGAATCTGAAATTTTAAAATTTTATTTTGGCAACAGAGTTTAGTTTTAATTCATCCTAAAGTTACTAAAGTAAAAAATCACAATAGCATTCTCCTACAACTTTAAATGCAAAACCCCAAAACTGTTTATAGGAAGCATGATTTTGTACACGGAATGAAACCATATAAATTCAGAACTTACAGATAAGGGTTAGCATCAGCACTCAACTCTTTAAATGTTTTATGTGAATATGCTTGCAAAACCCACAAAATCTGTCTTTTGAGATGTGATATGTATATATCCAAGGTTTTAATTGCTGAAACATATGATCTTTTTAAGGTTTATTGTGATTACCATGGCCATTCTCGAAAAAAGAATGTATTTATGTATGGCTGCAGCATCAAAGAGACAGTGTGGCATACCCACGACACGGCGACTTCCTGTGATGTTGTGGAAGACATGGGATACAGGGTAACTATTACAGATAGTTCATGAATATTTGAATTTCAGATGCATGTAAGCTAAAAGAAAAGTTAAGTACACATGAATTGATCTGTCTGGAATTTAGTTTTGTACTTGGTATGGAGATGTAATTTTATTTTGCCCATGGACACCAGTTGTGTGAGCAGCATTTACTAGACAGGAGAGTTGCTACATGGGGATTCTGTGCTCTTGTGTGCTGGGAGGGTCCCAGTCAGCCTATTGCCACACCATTTTAATAATGATGAATTCTGACATGGTTTCTTTTCTTGCTCCTTTTACACTTTTGCTGGGTGGGTTCTTTGTTATTTGTGGGTTTTGTTTTTTTTTGTCGGTTGCTTTCCTTTGTGCATTCCAGGATATTTGTTTGTAGATTAACCTTGAGATTTGAATCAGAGTAGTGTTAAATCTAAAGTAAGTTTGAGAAAATTACTTACAAGCATTTGTATCCATGAACTTTGCTTGTCTATTTGCTGGAGTCTTATTTTCTTAGTAAAATGTCTTTACATAGGTGTGATCTTTTTTTAGTTCTATCCCCAAATACTTCTGAATCTAAGTACAGTTGGATTAAGAATTTTCCCCTCACATACTGGCTGCCTCCTAGTAGATCACTGATTGCATATAAGAAACTATTAATTATTTCAGGAGAAATTGCTAAGGGTTTTATGATCCTTCTAAAAAGGGGTAAATATCAAAATGTCTCTTACCTCGTAACTATCAGTGAATGTGGAAGTGAAGTAAGATGGTATTAGACACTGAAAGTATCCAAAGTTTGCCTTACAAATAACCTTTTTTTGGGAAGCTACTGGGCAATTTAAAAAAAATATTTTTTAAGATTTATTATTTTTGTTTTATATGTGGATGTTTTATCTGCATATATGTCTGTGCACCATTTGTGTACAATGCCTGTAGAGGCCAAAAGAGGGCATCAGAAACCCTGAAACTGTAGTTACAGACAATTATGGGTTACAGCCTGTGGGTGCTGGGAACTGAACCCAGATCCTCTGAAAGAACAAGAAATGCTTTTAACTGCTGAGCTGTTTCTCCAGGCCGTGGAAGATACTGTCAAGATTGAGTATTCCCCAAAAGAAGGCAGCATAAGGTAATGAATTCAAGAGAAACAACCTGTAATACCAGTGCAGGAGAGCTGCAGAATATATAGTGTCTAATGTATCAGTGGTCAATGAACAGTAATGACCTTTAGATTCTCAGAGTTCTATTAGATTAGGCCACATTAAGTAAACTGTATCAGTGGAACTTAGGGATATACAGGTGAAATAGAGAATGCTTAATTTAGATCTAGGAAAAGGATGTTTGAAGGTGAATAGCAGGAGGCCCCAAAGACTGGGAAAAGCTAGACAGAAGACCGCTGGTAGAACCTTCCCATGTGCTATTACCAATACAGCCTTCCCTTACTGTAAAAATAGTCCAGTATTCTGGGAACTTTTAGTCACCTAAACTGAAAGCAGGTTTTTCATATTGACATTATCATTTCTTCTGCTTAACTTAGGAATTATAATTTTATTTATATGTGTGTGTTCCTGGGAGAGCTTTGTGTGCTGTGTGTCTGAAGTGCCAGTGGAGGCTAGAAGAGGGCATTGGGTTTCTGGGAACTAGAGTTGCAGCTTGCTGTGAACCACTATGTAGGTGCTGAGATTGAATGCAGGTTCTGCAGGTGGAGGAAGCACTCTTAGCCATCATGCTATTTCTCCCATCCTCACTCTCACTGCTCAGCCCACCTGATGTTTGTTGACCGTCTTGTCATGTCCTCATATCTGGATTTATCTGTTGTTTTTGTCACTTACACAAGACTCAGATTCTGCGGTTTGTTTTTACTGTATCAGCACCTACGTGTATTTGCAGAGTAGTCTCTTGTAAGTGGTTATTTGAATAGTATTGCCAACTACCCCACCACACAGCTGAAACCTTCTGAGGCTAAAGTGCCAAGAGAGCTGCTGTTGTCTCTTCACACTGTTTACCACAGCATCCTTCCTGGGGAAAACAGGGCCTGGTTATTTTAATTTATACGGTGACAGTTGGAGGAGAGAGAGAGTTTTCATGTTGCTCGTTACACTATCCTTTGGAAATACTGTTTGCTCATGTTTCCGGCTTTTGTACTGTTCATCTTGTCATTACTGTTTCAAAAATAAGAACTCATGATATGTATAACATATACTCTTTTCTGGTGTGTACTATTTAAAACTGATTTTTTTTTTTTTTCTGTATAATGGCACTGGGTTAGAACTCAGCCTCCTACATGCTAAATGCGTGCTGGGCTCCTGAGGCCATCCTCAGCCCTGTTGACTTTAAAGTTGTCTCTGTGTTTAACCTCCCTGGTGAAGAGTTGCCTCAGGTCATTCTCAGGGCTAGCTGAGCCCTGTTGGTCATGCTTGGTAGTCTCCAGGAGCGATGATGCTTGGGCTCTGCTTCTGCACCCTTTGCAGAGCGCAACGTGTTTCCTGCATTCCTCTTCCTGTCGGAGCCTCTTCACACATATGGGCCACATTGGCATCTGTGGGATTGTTTTTCCAGATAGCTGTTTATGTGTGTGTGCATGTGTGATGACTTTGCAAGATTTGCTCACATGTTTATATTTTCAGGTGAACTTGGAAATAATTTTAAGTTAGAAAAATATTGGATTGGTACTGTTCTCATTGGTTGGGTTTTTTTTTTTTTTTTTTTAATCTAGAGGTCATTGACATTTAGTGTCAAATTAGCTGGCCTTTGCCAGGCTAATTTGTTTTTAAATTTTAAGCATGTTTTTCTTCATATTTTATTTGCTTATTTATTATTTACTTGTGTGTCTGTGTGTGTGTGTGTGTGTGTGTGTGTATGAGTTTGCACATGTGCATGTGAGTACCCACAGGAGCCAGAAGAGGGTGTCAGATCCTCTGGAGCATCAGTTACAGACACAGCAGTTCTGGGCGCTGAGTTCAGGTCCTCTGCATGAGCAGCAAGCTCAGCGCTGCAGAGCCATCTCTCTAGCTCCTTTCTTTATATTTTAGCCATATTTTTTTTTTGTAAATGTGTATAAATGTATACTTTCTACATTGTTTGCTATTATTTGTAACAGCAGAAATGTCTAACTTAGTAGGAGGCTGAGTGATGGTGAGGGGCACAGCTACTTAAAAATAAAGCAGTGTTTGAATTAATAAACTCTGGGTTACAATTTTATTTTTACAGACTTTGCCTAAGATACTGAACCACATTGCTCCAGCATTTTGCATGAGCAGTTGTAGCTTTGTGGTGGAAAAATCCAAAGAATCCACAGCTCGGGTTGTAGTGTGGCGGGAAATAGGAGTACAAAGGAGCTATACCATGGAGAGCACTTTATGTGGCTGCGATCAGGGAAGATACAAGGTAAAGTATTTGGAGCGATGTCGCTGCTTTTAAACTTTTTCAGGTCCATGCGGTTGTCCGCTGTGATGCGTGAGTCCTGAGGACTGAACCCTGGTCCTCTGCAAAAGCGGTAAGCACTCTTCGCCTCAGCGGCATCTCTGCAGCTCTGGGTGTTCAGCTGTACAGATATTTGATGCTTCCTTTCATATGTGCACCTGTGGTTTTCAAGTGTGCACTGAATGTATACTTGTCTTACTGAGCTATATGTGTAACACAGTAATGGGATCGACAGTGAGGCTTCGGGGAGACATGAAGGGTGCAAGCGTGAATACTCATGGATGCCAGAAAAGAAAGTGGGGTGTCTTCCTTTGTTACAGTGGCTGTCAATCTTCCTAATGCTGTGGCCCTTTAATACGGTTCCTCATGTTGTGGTGATCCCTAGCCATAAAAATTTGATTGCTACTTCATAACTGTAAGTTTGCTACTCTTATGAATGAATGAATGAATGAATGAATGAATGAATGAATGAATGAATGAATTAGTGTAAGTATCTGTGATTTCTGATGGTCTTAGAAAAGGTTGTTTCACCCCTAAGGGGTCACGACCTGCAGGTTGAGAACCACTGCTCTGTTGCTGTTCATTTTATTCCCTTGACATAGGATCTCACTGACGCACATGCAAACCTGTCATTTCATGAACTAGAAACTTGCCCTTTGGCAAGGTTGGCTGGCCAGTGAGTTCCCAGAATCCACCTGTCCCCCTTACCTGCCCCAGGTACACACAGCTCTGTGTGGGATTTGAACTCAGGTCTTTGTGCTTGAAGATCATTCAGTTTTATATACTGAACCTCTTTTTGATCCTCCCTCTCGTTATTTTTAATTTCTTTAAACTAAATCACTTGCTTAGGAATCTTTAAGGAATTTTAATTATTTTATTCACATCCATAATTTTAAAGAAAGTACAGTGGCACATAAGATCACACATTTAATTAGTAATTCATAAGGAGCGCACTATCATAAAAACTCCCATCGATGTAGTAGATTCAATATTAAGTATTTTTTAAGAATTTAATATAAGTACATGAGTACTTAGTTATATTTAGATTTTTGAGTGTGTGACTTTTTTGTGCCTGTACATACATGGTTGTGTGGATATGTGTGTGTGCATGTATGCATATGTGTATGCATGTGTGTGTATATATATATGTGTATACACAGTTATGTGTGTGTGGATGCAGTGTGCATGTGTATATGTATATGTGTATGCATGTTTATATGTGTATGTACATATGTGTGCATGTGGACATGTGTGTATGCACGTATGTATATGTGTATATGTATACCTGTATGTATACATGATATGCATGTATGCATGTGTGGATACATATGTATGAATGTGCATATGCATGTATGCATGTTTGTGGGTGTGTGCATGGATGCATGTGTGTGTGTGTGTGTGTGTGTGTGTGAGAGAGAGAGAGAGAGAGAGAGAGAGAAAGAGAGAGAGCATGCCTATCTTGGAGGTCAGAGAACAATCTGTGGAGTCAGTTTTCTTCTCTTACCAAGTGGGTCCCAGGAATTGAACTTAGGTGGTCAGGCTTGGTGGCAGGTGCCTTTATTCACTGAGCCACATCACCAGACCCATTTGTTTTTAATGTATAAACATATTTCAAAGACAAAATGAATGCCAAATAAATTTACCCAGTTTTGTTTTTATGTGATTTAGTTAATAGAATTCTCATTGATTTAAACTCTATGGAGAGAAATGTTTCTTCCTAAGCCAGGTTTTTAAAATGTTTGTGTGTGGGTTGGGAAGACAGATGGCTTTCTGGGTAAAGTGCCTGCCATGCTAGCTGTGCCTGCTTTCCACGAGGAGTGGGAATCCTTTAGGCTGGCTGCTGGAGAGTCATCTTGAGATCCATCCTTGCTAGGGCCTGCTCTCATCCACACCTGCAGCTTTGATGGTGTAAGCCTTCAGTTGTTTCAGATGTTCATTTCTGTATCTGGAAAATAAATGATAATCCATATAGTTTGCAATCAATACCTGTGGTTTTATGGTGACATTTAACGTCTGAGAACCTTATGATACACACCTGAGAAGCAGTTAAAGAAGGGATGGGGCTCTTTTTGATTGTTGGGAAATTAAAATAGGCACTCTTCAGCTGACATGGAGCATAGGAAATGCATTACTGTTGTTGAGTTCACTCTGTCCTTTCCTCACTTAGACACTGTAATAGGTGCTCTGAGGTAATGCTCAGAAATGCATAAAGCTCTGACTGACACTTGGGCTTTAGCACTGAAGTCAGAGCAGTGGTTCCCAGGGCTTGCTGGGAAGACAGTTGGAACACAGCTTCACACATGAGCAGGAGTGACTTAGCCAGAAAGTTCTCTTCATTTATTTTATTCCTCAGAGTGTTGGTAAAAAGTGATTTTCAACATGGTGAGTGGGAGTAGGTGTTTTATTACAAAGTTCAGGGTTGACTCTTCTTCAGAAGTCAGACCTGAGTCGATGTTTAGGTATTATAGCTCATCCAGTAAGCATTGCATGCAGGGGGAGGGGGATTTGGGTGGGGAGAGGCCAGTTTTAAGTACACAGCAAGACCCTGTCTCTAAAAACAAACAACCACCACCAAAGAGCAACAGTAAGATACTGTACTTCAGAACAGTCTCCTTTATGATCTAGAGGAACTCATATGAGCAGGACCTTCCCAGAGTAATGGACTTCTATAGCAGTGTTTCAGGTCTGTAAATGTAGTTGTAATTTCTGTGGATTTGACTTCAATGAGCTGCAGCCAGAGAGGAGCAAAGGTCCTGAGAGTCTGTGCTTTACTTTATTTTTAGGGTTTACAGATTGGGACTCGAGAATTGGAAGAGATGGGAGCAAAATTTTGTGTTGGTTTATTGCGTTTGAAAAGACTGACTTCTCCATTGGAATATAATCTGCCCTCCAACCTGCTTGACTTTGAAAATGACTTAATTGAATCAAGCTGTAAAGTAACTAGGTAGGACACTCTTCTTTCTTTCTTTTCTTTTCTTTCTTCCTTTTTTCCTATGTGCTTTCTGCTAGTAAGTCCTTATATGAGTAGTCAATAGATGAGCATGGTGATGTTGCTAGCCAAGAGCATGCTTAGAGTTGATATGATTAGGGTCACATGTCTAACACTTCTTTCTAATTGTAATGTTTGATGTTTGAGGAAGATTGGAGTGAAAGAGCCTTCTGCTTTCAACATTGCTTTTAGTAACTGTAATACTTCACTTTTCAACCAGAGAACAAGCAGTGGAGAAACATTGCATTTAGATAACATCTAAATTAAGAAGACTTGGACGTTTTTTATTTCAAGAGGTTTTGTTGATGTACTCATGTATCAGATGGTTGTTCAGTACCCTGATTATGTGTTAGAAATAGCTAAGTTTAGCACACCTTTGACAATTTGTTTCTGTCAAATGTTTTTTAAAATAGTATTTTCTTTTAAAACTTACTGTACGTGACATTTGAACCATTTGTAAACTTCAATAATCCAGTGTTAGAATTCTTAGTCATACTATCAGAATTTAGCCTGTGTCTTGTGGTGTACAGGCATGGTAGGAATACACATTTTCTAGGGCCTTGGTGATTTCTGTTGCTGGCCATCAGCCTGTCAGGGTGTTAACTTGTCAGTGCACAGTATGTGAATCAGCACAGCACTTTGAGGTACAGTGAAACAGAAACGGGGCTCTTGTGGATACGGTAATTACAGAGATCACTGGCAGCCATTGTTATTTAAAGCACCAGCCAAACCACAGTGGAAGCAAAGGCACAGATCACTGTGTATTCCTGGGCAGGCGGATGGCCTTGTGGGGAAAGCACTTGCCATGAAGTCGACCTGAGTCCAGTTCCCAGAACCTACGTCCAGATGGAAACAGAAACCTGACTCCTATGCCCGTACACAGTGCTGAGAAAAGTGGACGGTAGTCAGCCTTCCCTGAAGGTCAGACACTGACTTGAACTCATGCTGTTACTTCACCATGGTCCATGCAAGGATGATGCTCACCTCAGATAGTTCAGAGGACCAGCATTGGTTATTAGTGATCTACACATGTTCACCATTAGGCCTTCTCTCAAACAGGCTCATTCTTTTAGAAGGAAGAAATACGTATTTTGAAGTGTCTGTTCAGAAAAATTACATTGCTAAGTACTGCCATATCACAGTTAACATTTCAAAACTGCGTTTCAGTACAACTGTTTTCTTCTGTAAATGTGTTTGCTTTGTTTTGTATCATGGGGCACTCATACTGTATCAGACTCTCCTGAGAGGATATGGCACAAGAGCAGTGAGAGCTTGCCTGATTGTCACTACTGTGTCTATAACAATACCCAGCAATCTGTGGCTAACAGGGTGTATATTTTTAACAGTCTGCAGATGGTATGGGGTATTTCCTCTAACAGTCTGCAGTTGAGATGGGATGATTTTACACTGAATTTTCACCCTTTTCTTCTGTTCACTGAGTTGAAACTGTTAAACAATAAGCTACTTCCACACATCTTTACACGCCCTCCACCCGACCCCCGGCCATCATCCTTTTCTCTCTGGCTCTGTTTTGCCCAAACTTCTGAGTTTTCCCTTCACTTTTGTGTCCTAATGCTTCTATGGTTTTCAGGTCCTCAATCTGAATTTGCCTCCATCTCGTAATGTACTGAGTCCGTGCGTGTTGGGAAGCGCGCCATGGTGCTGAGTTCTTGTTGTGGCATCCTGGTATGCTCTGTAGCTTTCTTGTCTCCTGTCTTTCAGAACCTTTCCTTTGGTCACCTGATCAGATGGTTGGCTAAAGCTTCCCTTTGGGATGACTTTACTGCTATGCCGTGTCCTCTTTCTCATCAAACTTTCAACTTACTCATTTTTTAGATCCATGTGTGTGCTGGATATATAATTAAAGTTTAAGTCAACTTTAACACAACTACCATTAGTTTTTCTTGGTGCTCAGCACTGCCCGCCTCTCTGCATGGCACTCCTGTATGACTGTGCGCATCCTCATTGTTCCTTGGCCTGTTCATCTGGAGCCGCAGGACCTCAGGGCCCATTTTTGTGCATACTTGTTTCTGAGGCTGGAATTAGCCACTGTTTCCAGGCTGGTCTGATGATTTGTGGTTTAAAGTCAGTTGCACCTGACTTTAAATGTCTAGTGCTAGTTTTATTTATTACCTCTTTGCTATCACTGTTCTTATATTCTCTTAGGCAAAACTCTGTATTCAGGTGTTTACATACACGGATACCTGTATATACATGTGTGCACACACAGATATGATCTAGATTCCCCCAGAATCACCTTGCATCTCATCTACACCATATACTTAATCTTGATTTAAAATTTTCAGTTCACTTCAGTGAGAATTGGCATTGCTGTTCTTCGTTCCAACACTGCTTACTTGAGCTCCTTGCTCTGCCTGCCTCTCTTGTTGTAGGTTCAGATACTTCTTGGGAAAATAATTCTTGTGACCTCAGTGCCTGGTGGTGTTGCTGTTTCCTGACTGAATGTGTTCTGTTGCTGAGCCCTTAGGTTTAGTGGCAGTTGTAGGTCCTGGTGGAAAGTACTGCAGCTGCCTTGTTGTGGGGCCAGACACAGAGAAGGTTATTTGAAGGAGCCACTGGGTGTTGCAAGAGTCAGTTGCATTTGTGAAGTGACACTGTAGTTATAAAGTATGCAGAACATCCATTAAAACAATCCATTAAAAAGATTCTCAGTTGGTAAAAGTACTGTCTATGCCTGAGACCTGAGTTTGAATCCCCAGCCCTCACTGAGCCAGGCTTGACAGCATGAGCCTTTATTTCTGGCATGGACACCAGACAAAGGAGGACATTGGAAGCTCTCCTGGCTCTCCCGCCTAGCTCAGTGAATGAGCTTGAGCTTCTGTCTCAACAACTAAGGCAGAGTGTAGTTGAATAAGACACATGTTATACAGCTACACATACCTACATGCATATTTGCACATGTGTACATCATATATACATGTATACACACAGAGGTTGGATGCACATTTTGAAACAATTTAAATGACCTAGAGTCATTTGGACATAAGTTTTAGCCTAGGGCTTGGTAGAAGATAGGTGAGGTTTGGTAAAGAAATGACATAAACATAAAGAAACAAAATTAGCAAAAGGAAATCCACCAGTTGGGTCTAGTGGACCTCAGTGCTGAAAAAACAAAAGTATCAAAGGAAAAAGTGTTTTCCTATACTGGTAATTGTGTCTTTTATGAAGAGGAAGTGGGGATTATATTTTGAAGCATGTAATAGTCACTGAACACATACTATACTGTATGCTGTAGCACAAGAGGCTCAGAACCATGAGTCTCTGCCTCTCAGTTGTTTTCGTAGAGCTCAGACCTTAGAAAATTGAGTTGTTTCTAATTCAGGTAATAAAAACAGTACTCAAACTGGAGTTGCTCGGTGCTTTATTTATTTTGTGGCTGTATCATAGGTAAATATCATTTTTTTTTTTTTTTTTAGTTGTGCCATCTTATTGGCCATGAAATGTCCAGTTAAGACTGTTAATGGAAGTGTCCTTTCTACTTGGAACAGACGTACCCTGGCTAATCCTGAGCCTCATCTCTTCTGTGTTCTTACTTAGGATGTGAATCTGTGTAACTGTATGGTTTATAATTTGGTCTGTTGTCTTTGTACAATGGTATTTTCAGTGAATTACTGATAAAATTGAAGAGTTTTAGTTTAGTATTTTTAAAAGATTTATTTATTTATTATGTATACAATATTCTATGTGCATGTACACCTGCATGCCAGAAGAGGGCACCAGATCTCATTCTAGATGGTTGTAAGCTACCATGTGGTTGCTGGGAATTGAACTCAGGACCTCTGGAAGAGCAGCCAGTGCTCTTAACCTTTGAGCCATCTCTCCAGTCCCAGTTTTTGTTTTTTAATCTGGTGTTTTGTGCTGCTTAATGTTTTTTACCTCCACATCTTGTAAATGATTTTTTTTTTTTTTGTTATTCCAATTTTTTCTGTGTGTAACCTTGTTCTGTTTTCTTTGTCATTCTTTCATTGGTACCCCACAGTTTGTCAGTGCAAATGGACCCCTGGTTTATTAATGCACAGTACAAACTGCTATGTCTGTTTCCTCATACACAATGAATGCTGAGACCTTAGGATACATTAATTTTACAACCTGGCCACTTTTTGTACTATTGTGTTGTATTTTAATTGAACTGCTTATACTTTAAGCCTTATTATGCTTGTAACTAACTGCTTTAGTCAGCCATTATTCATTAAGATTTACTGTTTAGCTCTTCATTGGTCCCTACCCCTGGTCTTTCCTCTTTGTTTCTTTTTCTAGCATGGACTGCACTCAGACTCATGGCAGTCCAGCTTCATCTTCTGGGTGCTGGATTGCAGGTGGACTTCTCTGCCTCTTTTCCGGGTTAGGGCCGTGCATGTGTGCGTTTATCTGTACGTATCTGTTTATAGGTGTGTATATATATGTTTATGTGTCGAGGTCAGTCTGTGTGTGTCTGTGTCTCTGCCTGTGCGTGTCTGCTGTAAGCATTCCGTTACTACATTTGCTCCTTTTGTTGAGAACTCATTCTCTAGGGTTGCTCTTGCCCTTGAAGATCATCATGCACATTCTTGGGTTCTCTTGTTTGAGCATTGTAGCAGTTTTTGCTGTGAGTTCAAGGATTGATGTCCCTTGTTTCTTCCATGTGTGTGCAGTCCCCTGAAGACTATACTTTGAGTCTTCCATTGTTTTTGGAAAATTTCAGCCATTAGCTTTTTGCACATTACTTCTGTTATGTGCTCACGCTTGTGTAGGGTTAGTTCACAGAGCGTTTCATCTTTGTTTCCTGTCCTTCTTTCTCTCTTTGTTGAAGTCTGAAACTGTCTACTTACTTACCTCTGCTTCGGTCTTCTCCTCTCAGCTCCAGCCTGAGTGAATTGTGGGTCAGTGGTGTAGTTTTAGTCTAGATTTAATGTGATTATTTTTTAATAGAAAACAGTCATCTATTTTGGACCTCAGTTATTTTAGAGTTCCTGTGTAGTAACTAGAGCTGCTTCTGTTGGGGTTTTCTCTAGTTGTGTTTCTTGGCCTGTCTGGCAGTGTTTACTCAAATGCCAGCCAGGTGTCAGGGATAAAGATGGAGGGTCCATTGTCCTCGACTTTAAGGAGTGGGTGCTCCAACCCAGTGAGCTAGTGAGCTGGCTTGAGGTAACGTTACAAATGTATGTAGGCCACTTGTCTCCTAGGTCACCTCTCACAGCTTTCTGAGTGGCAGCCCCCCAGGGGTCACAGTGGAAGGCCCAGAACCCCTCCTCTCCTTGGCATCACAAAACTGCCAGAGTGTCTCTGTGGCCTTTTTGTTTCTCTGTTTGGGTTTCCTGTTTTACTGCGTTTTTAGCTTCTTGCACTGTGTCACTTAACAGTTTGTCAAATGCCTCTAGGAAAACTGCTGAATGTTGGGGTCACCTTTCTGCAACTCCCTTTTTCAGGAACCGTGGCAGCTCTGAACTCCGGCTTGTCCCTGCAGTCCTTTGAACTTGCTGGTGCTCTGTGGACACCCCGCCCTGGCAGCTGCCTTCTTTGCCCTGCTTCCCACTGGACTTTGCCCCGCACTTTCCCTTGCTGACTTTGCTTTGTATCCTTTCACTGCAATGAGCCATGAGTGTGAGCTCTGCTGTGTGCATCTCCCTCTCCACCCACTGCTCCTGGGAGCCTTGGGGGTCCCCAGTTTTTTCAGCCCATTCTGAGTTTGTTATGTTTGGTCACCACAAAAATGCTGGTGTTTTGCTGAGAACAGTTGGAGCTAGGTCATACTGTACCACTGCAGCTTAGAATTTACTACAGAGGCTCTCCTCGAAACCCCAGGAAGCTGATGCACTCTGACTGTACAAGGAAAACTCCCAGAGGGTGCCACTTGCAGAACTGTGGCTCTGTGCATGATGGGTGGTCTGACCATCTGGCACTCTGCTATGAGAACTGGCTTTTGGTTGATTTCATAGCTGGAGTTTAGTGGCACCATTTCATTTATTTTTATTTTTATTTTTTTACATCCCTACCCTTGCCACAAATCAGAAATTAACAATTCCTTTCTTTTTTTCACATAGATATTCTTTGGTTAGCTATATTGTATAGTAGCTCTGCCTACTCTTCCCCCCTTCCCTGTCTCTCTGTGTGTGCTTCAATATGCTTGTAAGTGTGCAATAGCAGTTTCAGACTGATATACATATATTTCCTATGAAAGGGAAGGTGGTTGTGAGTATGTGAGCAATATATGTGAAGGTCCTTTCTAAGTTGTAAAGTGCAGAGAACATATACTAAAATTCAACAAAAGGAAGTGAATGGCTGTGATTGGCCTTGTGCCTGAAAACTTTCCTGCTAAAGTGAAATTGTGGCATGTCGTAATGTGAGCACTGGTGATCCTGTTTGCCTCCTTGCTCTTCGTGGGAACTGAGGTGGATTGTTGGGGAGATCATGTAAAACTGTTAGAACACCGTGGCAGGCAGGCAGGCAGACAGTGGGCTCTAGTCCAGGCTACATCACCAGAGACAGACAGTAGAGTAGGCCACACAGAGAAGAGTCAGGCCCTCATGGTGGGAGTGCAAAATCTTTTTATGACATGTTGAGAATGGAAGTGGTTTCACAACACAAGCTTGCAGCTGGACTCCGATTCCCAGGCCGGGAGTACAGATGGGGTGGGGAGCAGGGATGGTCACACTCCACTCAGTGTAACCGTGTTTGTCTGTTATCGAGAGACAGCCAGCGTGTTTCAGTAAGGCTGGTGTCTGAGAGGAAGGGTCTCTATAGACAGGACCCTAACATCACATTCTTACATTCTTTAAGTATTTGGCAAATATTTATTGGTGTATCTGAAAAGTGCTGCTAGAGGCATTTATATAGGCAAGTCACAGTTCCTGACCTTTATTTTGTATTGAGAAGACAGACATGGCAATGGGTGGCTCCAGCTGCATGTAGTGGGCAGATGGGATGTTTAAGCAGGGTGCAGAGGACATGTGGAGAGAGGAAACTCCTGCCAAGGCGTTTGGGAGAGCTGAGGATGAGACCACATTGTGCTTTGAAAGAAACATGAGCCACTGGGGGCAGAAAGTGGGAAGTTTACTGTGTGCAGGAAAAATAAGCTTGGTCAAGGCTTGTCATGGAGCGTGTGGGTCTTGGCACAGTCTGGACACTAAGGCTGGCTTTCTTCTGGAGAAGTTTGAGTTGTGTAACTTTCTCCATAAATGGATTTGAGAATAAAAAGAAGAATAGATTTAGTCGGGAGAACAATAAGTTTTCAACATGCAGTATTTGTGTAAGATAGCCATGTAATGTCTCTAGCAACTCCATGTGTGTGTAAGAGGGTCCTGTGAAGTCAGGCTACATGTTTGCATTTAGAACTGATGAGAATTTGCATTAAAATGGGTGAGCATATTCAGAGGGCATGCACGATGGAGAGCTGGAGACAGGGAGGACAGAACAAACCCATATGGAAGAGGCAGAGTTCTGTCCACTCAGAGGGCATGCGCGGATGAAGAGCTGGGGACAGGGAGGATGGAACAAACCTGGATGGAAGAGGCAGAGTTCTCTTCACAGTTGAGTGCAGCAGAGGCGGCTAGTGAAAGTGGCGTGTGAACCGTACTGTGGGGGCTGGGCATGTGCGGAATGGAGAATCCCATGCTCTCATAGACACAGACATCTCTGCTCTCCTTTCCTCGGTCCTGATGGTGTTCCCTGCTAGCACAGTGGCCCTGCCCCAGTGTGAGAAGGAGTTCCTGAAACTAAGCCTAGGAACAAAGTGTTCTCACAGTCTGGGGAGCCAAGAATCTGAAAGACCATTGAGGGCTACAGGTGTGGACTAAGAGAGTGGCCTCATTTCCTGTGCTTTCCGTTCTCCTACCAGAGTAGGTGATGTGGCAAACAGAGTTCTTGGTGAATGACCAGGTTTGTTCATGCTGAGCCGATGAGTGCACCAAGACCTCCAGGATGGAACAGCTTCTGGGACAGGCCTGCCTGTGCCCCTCTGTGCTTCTTGGGAGCTTGCCCTCTTGGTCTGAGGCTCCTGTCCTTGCTGTCTTGGAGGCTGCTCTCCTCTCATCCTGTCTTCTCATTGGTGAACAGCTGTAAGAATGCCGGCCTTCAGACCTCTTCTCAAGTTCCACTTGATGAACTCTGCTGTCTGCCTCCACACAACATCAATCCTTATTCCGACCACAGGCTCCTCACACAGCCTAGCTCCAGCCTCCTTTCTTACAGTAGGCAGGTGTGGTAGACACCTGCTGCTGTAGATCTTCACACCGTCCACCTTCTGCCTGTGTCCTCACCTCCCGGGATCTGTCATCCTCTGCCCGCTAGCAGCCTGCGTGCTAGCACTGCGGTGCCTCTCTGATTCTCACACTGCAGCGAGAACTAAGCAAGCATGTGACAGCCAGTTGTGTGCTCTCTTCTCTTCGCTTCATTTGCCTCAGCCTCTTAGGAGCCACCTGGGACTTTTAGGAGACTTTAAACACTGAGGTCAAGGGGGAATCAATTATCATATTTCAAAAGCAAGAAGGATAGTAACAGCTGTTTCTAAAACAACTAATTTTTTTTTTTTTACAATCTTTCTGTTTATAAAGACCTAGCTATCAAATTTATAACTAAATATTTAAATTTCACAGTGAAAATTGGGATTTGTCCTTGTGATTCTTGGGTCTGTTGAATCTCATTCATTTTCGAAGCCAGTCAGCATCTTTGCCTTTTAGCTGTAGGCTCTGAACTTCTCAGAGAAATCCGTTGTGTTAGAGGAAAATGGCTTGCAGTAACGACCCCCTCCCCTTTTGGCCAGGGTAAACCTCACTGAAGGAAGAAAGTGCCTTTTCATACAAGTTTTACTTTCTCCTCTCAGAATTGTAACTGCAGGCTCCAATTGCCTTCTCTGCTCCAGCATGTTGGCCTAGAATTTCATGCTCAGCTGTGGGTTCTATTGTCTCTAGAGTTAATTGACCCACGTTTCTTATTTGAACAGACTGTTCTCTCTTTTGTCTAGTTATATATTTTTAGTTGCTTCACCTATCAGAAATCATTTTTGAGAAGTAAGTGGCCTATAAGCAAACATGCATATGAAATTCATGTTGATTGGTCATAACTTCAGAGTGTGTGAATTGCCTCTGCAGTGTTCCCACCAATGGAAAGCAGTAATGGAAGAGTTGTTTTCGTCCCTTATACACTACATAAAGAGATGCTTAGAGGCACTTGTAGCTGTAAACAAACATCTTATTTTCTATCCCAGTGGGAACTAGTCTGGGTGTGCACTTGCCATCTGGACTTATGGGCACTGCGGGGATGTGGCTGTAACCAGTTCATAGCAGCAAATCACTCTGAGGACTCAATGGTTTAACGTGCCTGTCCACAGCTTCTCACACAGCCTGTTGGCATTACCTGTTGCCTGATTTACAGGGATTAAAATAGAACTTTAAAATAAATCTGTAAAGCATGTATGTTGATGAAATCCTTAAAGTGGCAGCTGAGAGAGTCCATTTCCCTTCTGTCTTTTGGCATGCTGTGTGTAGACACTTGCAGTGTCACTAAAGACTGTTTCAGCCCATACTGCAGCTTGCAGCTGTTATAACCCTCTCACCTTGTTCACGTGGACAGGAACTCCAACTTCGTATGAGTTGCTGTATTATTGAGGTCAAAGTTGGTGTGTGAGGTGGTATATAGAGCCTTACTCTCACGAAGTTGTGTGTTCTGTGATACTGAGGTCAAGGGTAGTGTGTGAGGTGGTACCTTGCTCACAGCCTTGCTCTCATGAAGTCATGTGTTCTCTGCTTTGGCTGCAGCCCCACCACTTACGTTTTGGATGAAGATGAACCTCGGTTCCTTGAAGAAGTTGATTATAGTGCAGAAAGCAATGATGAGTTAGAGGTTGAATTAGCAGAGAACACGGGTGATTATGAGCTTTCTGCCCAAGAAGAAGCCCTTTCTGACTCCGAGGTATCAAGAACACACCTGCCTTGAACTTTCTGCCATCTTTGTTACTTGCCAAGAAGAAATGACATGTCTTGGTTTTTGTTATGCAGGAAATCTGAGAGGCATAAGCACTTAGACAACTGACTCAAAGAAGACGAAAAGGAACTTGGCGCCTGTTTGGTTTCAAGACAATAAATATATTGTTAATTCATGACATAATTGGCATTTGTTTTATTTTAGGTATTCAATGTACTTTATATAGCATTGAATTATCAGATGATTGATTTACTTAAAAAAAAATGAACCCAAGTATCATTGCATGAATTTTTCTCTCCTGTGGCACCTGCATCAAGTAGATAAAGTCAAAGTGTGTCCGAATACAAAAATCTAAATTCTGGAGTGTTGGAAACGAATACGTCTGCCCATGGCTTTCCCTAGACGTGCTTGTGTGGAGGTGGTAGTTACTGAAGATAAGACTGCTCTTCAGGATCATGTGAACTGTGGGTTGTGGCTAAAATAATCCAGAATCTGCCTTGAAACCATCCCATTCTACATTTATCAAGTTAAATAAAAACTATGTCGAATACTGCATTTATTTTTGTCATCTTTGTAACCAGCTCAAGTGTTTGTTAGTGTATAGAACTTATAAAAACCCAGGCTCTGAACAGGACAAAAGCCTCACTTCCCAGTTTTGAGGCTGTGATGGTATGGGATGCCTGTGACCCCTTCAGTTACCCCTTTCTCAGTTGTGTCTCATGGGTGCTCTGAGAAACCCTCACTGCAGCCAGAGGATGTGAGCTGCTGGGCAGCATGCTCACACACTGGGCTGATCTGCACCTCACGAGCTAACTGTGCTCCTGAGCTTGGGGGTGATTTATTTATTCCCTGGCAATACTAGCAGGAGCTCTAGGTGACCCCAGTCCACTCAGACTGTTTCTTGCAGTGACACTTTACTGAGGGTTGGCTATCTTGGGGCAAAGTAACTGTCATCACTAAATAGAACAAACTCAGTGACTAGATGCTTGCTTTAAGAGTTAAGTTTTTGCTACTATAAGCAAAACCTGCAAAGACTGTGCCATAGCCAGCAACTCCAGGACTCGGGTGCTTAGCTGTTGCTGTGTCTCCTTGCTTATTTCTAAATTAGTCATTTCTAAACCTTTTAAAATGAAAAACAAATTATTAAAGTAGATTTTGGATTTTTCCCAAATTAATGTTTTTTTTAGAAAAATAATATAGGTTGTTGGGGGCCAGCTTCAACACCACAGGGTAAACCGAGGTGGGGTGTAGAGTCGGTGACTGATCACCCAGCAGACTTTTCTCTGAGGGTAAAAGCTTGATTATCTAGGCTGGAACTGATTGTAACCAGTGGGATTTGCCACTGATAGTAGCCATCAAAACCTCTGCTGATGGTAGTCTAGACTAGAGAAAAAGGAAAGGAAAAAAATACACGCATACATACACACATTCACACATTGGGTGGATGGAGCAAACTCCAGTGAGCAAGCTCCAACCATTACATATACATATACATGTGTACATACTAACTAAAGAGTGAGTTCCCACTACTTTACATATATATATATATATATATATATATATATATATATATATATGTATACACCTCTGGTGGGTGGAGCAAACCCTACAGGCTCCCATTATTTTATTTTTTTATCCCACAGCTTATATATTCTAGCAAAATCTTTCAAGCAGTAAAAAAAATCACAATGTGGTTACATCTTTTTTTTTTAAGTGAATGATGACAAAGAGTATACATAGAAAAAAAAGTTCCCCAGTACCCTCACATACTCAAATGTTTTACGTATTCTGGGTGAAAAACAAATTATTCCCAGGAACCCACATGCATTTGTAACTAAGCAGCTTGTCATAGATTAACAAGGTATAAGCAAGCAAGGTAATTTTTCTTCAGCCAGTCTTTCTTTACTGGTGAGGCTGCAATTTGTAGTTACAAAGAAAGAATCAATTATCTTAAAAAGTAATCTTATAAAAATCTTAGTCACAAATATAAACTTTTATATAAAAAACAATCAGCCATTTCTACTTTAAATCCCCAAGGCAGGCATTTGCTCATTAATGGCATTTATTAGCTCATGTCAGGAAGCTGAGGGCAAAAATGGGACCAAGAGATTAGTCATCACCTTGTGATCACCAGCCTAGCTTCAGCAACAGGGTCATGTCAGCCAATGACAATGTGGGCTCTTCTTGCTCCTTGACCTCAAAACGTTCCTAGCTCAGCTATTAACGGTGTGCCTTTCTGAACCTTAAATTGTTCCTTAAGATTTTCCAAATTAGAGCCACTGACAACGACAACAACAAAATCTTAACCGAACTTTCTAAAACTATTTAAATCAAATCAAGAATTCTGAAAAATCATTAATTCATCTAAGCAGTATCATTTTATAAAAGTTCATCCTCATATTGATTGCAGGAAGGTTGTTCAAATGAGTAGGCTGTCACCCAGGAAGCAAACCAGACAATAGACAATGAGGGTTTCCCCATGCCCACTCATATCATCCCAGATACATGAGGACGACAGCAATGACAACAGGAGAAGGCACAGCAGCGGCAAGAAGCAATCCTGAGATGAAAGCCCTGAGGCTGCCTCTCCAAGGTCCACCCATTGCCACTGAGCAAAATGGTGGACCGTCTCCAGGAAGTGAACCTGCCCACTGCAGCTGCTCCTGACCGGTGTCCGCCAGTGGGTCCTCTTTGGTGTCTTGGGAGGCATGTTACAAATAAGTTTTGGATACTATAAAAAGAGGTGTTGGTCAGGCATGGTGGTATACACCAGCACTTGGGAAGCAGAGGTAGGAGGGTCCAGAGTCAAGGCCAGCCTGGGCTATGTGGATCCCATCTCAAAAGGAGTTTTTTTGTTTTGTTTTGGTTTGGTTTGGTTTGGTTTTCCTCCAAATCATCTACCTCTCACTTAGTCTCAGAAAGGAAAATTAAATAAACCATGAATTTGAGCCATCCAGTTCTGGAAAGATAATGATGGTTTAGTAAGGCATTATTCAGTTACTCGTTTGTCATTGTAAATAATTTTATATTTGTATTTTAAATAATCGCATATTTTGTTATGATTGAACTTTCAGTGAAGGTGCTCATAATGTGCCACATGCAACGTTCTTGGCTTTTACCAAATTAGAAATGAAAGACCGAGACACCAGTGTGTAAAAAGCAAGAGTAGTTAACACTAATTTATTATTTTACAGTATCAGATCTCCTCACCCTGAATGCTTACTGCATAGTGATGAAATACACTCCCCAGTACCTTTTCTCAAGTAGTTGCCGGGTTTAAAAGAAAGCCTTTATGGTTAAAAAGTTTCTATTCTCATAAGCTTTTTAAAATAAAAAGTAATTCAATATTCTAACTTTCCTAATTGGAGATGTTGTATTTCATCATTAGTCTCTAAAATTGCCCCCCCCCCTTAAACCTGTGGACCGTAGTTTCTTCAGGGGTTCAAAAATGTTTGAGATGCTTGCTTATACACAGTGCAAGGACAGCGTGGTGAGGCTTGGCATCACAGTGGACCCAGTAATTCACTTGCATTTGGAGCTTTGAACTTGCTAAGTTGGGTCTGATCCAGTCATTCCCACTGGCAGTGTACATCCTAACTACCTGGAGGCCTTCCCACAGAGACACACACACACACACACACACACACACACACACACACACACACACTGCTGATCATGTGGTCCACATGGAACCTGAGGGCCAGGGTTCCTACAGATCCCAAGGTGCTGGGATACAGCCCACAGGGGCTCTTTCAGCATCACAGCTTACTGAGCATCATGTGACCTGGGAGCTAGGGGTGAATGCAAGGGAGACTACGGACAGAAGGGTTTATAGAACAAGGGAGCTAGATGCACAGAGACCAGTGAAGGCCAAAGTATCACTAGGATGCTGTCCTGGCAGCGGACTGCGTTCCCCACAAAGGAGGGCCAGCTTCACTTTGTCCAGAGAGGAAGGAATGTTGAAAGTGGAACGATCATTCCTAAATTATGTGTTTATAAAAGTGGAAGGCGAGTCCACGGTTCAGTTTGCCTGAATTTAGGAAGAAATCTCTGCCACTTGGTTCAGTATGTAGAAACAGTGGTTGGAGTCCTGCATGACAGAAAGTAACTCAGGATTGTGCTCCTGGTGGCATGTGCACAGTCACAGGGGTGCCGTTCTAAGTCTCCCATCTCCACACTAAGATGACCTCGAGTATACACTGAAGTAGACAACACAGAAGTGTGTTAATGTAAGTCTTCCTATGCATGGTTCAAAAAGAAGTGACGGCAATGATGCAATTAATGCATCCTTTAAAATCCCTTTTCTTGTGTATGTCTTAATTATGAGACACAATTTTTGCTTTGCTTTTTTGTTGTTGGTTTTTCGAGACAGGGTTTTTCTGTGTAGCCTTGGCTGTCCTGGACTTGCTTTGTAGACCAGGCTGGCCTCAGACTCACAGAGATCTACCTGCCTCTGCCTCCCTGAGTTCACCGTGCCTGGCCGCATAACTAATTTTTAAATAGGAAAAAAAACTACTGAGGAAATAGTGTGGTTGGAACATGAGTCTACTTTATACCATGAATTGCTTAAAAATATTCCTCTGATTAAAATATATTCATATCCCATGACATAAAGGGAAATCTAAGAGGAATTTTCATTCTCAGTGAAAATAAGTCTTTTGAAGGTTTAGTCCTGGAAGTGCCACATGGACTTGGTTTCTACTTTTGAGACAAGCGCCAGGAACAGGTAGGTGACAGGCGGCCGCCAGCACACTGGGACCGCCACTGCATCTGCCTTTCCACCTCACGGGCCTCCTTTGCACTTGGAGCCCTTCTGACAGCCCCGGCACAGCCAATCACTGAGCCCTTGGCTGGTTACTGATGGAATCTGAGTATATCTGAGTATGCTTGCTTGCAGTTAAAGGCTGCTCACTGCAATGCCTAAATCTGTGCTGCCCTCCGAGGTAGCATTTGCCTCACCTCACGGGCTAGTGAGGTGTGTGGCTTTTTCCAACTCAGTGCTCTACTTTTAAACCACATAAAGGCCCCTGGCTTTGCAAGTGTGAAGAGACCATGGAAGGGGAAGATGGTTCTCACTGGAAACTTGTATAGGGAAGAGTCACAATTGTGCTTAGCCCGTGATGCCTGGCCACAGCATCCCAAGGTAACCATACTACACAGTATGTTACAGGCCACCGCCTTGTGGCTCAACATCGGACACGTCACCTGATTAGGCTTTGGTAAGTAAAAGCCTGCACCTTAGAAGCTGATTGACTATGCTGTGGGAGTGTTCCCGGGGTGTTGTCAGTGAGGAATTTTAGCCCCCCCAACACTGGGAGAGAAAGAAGGACAGAGAGGAAAAGGGGCATAGGTCTCTCTAGACTACTTCCTGCTGATTAGGGGTGTTGAGTTCCGGGGGAAAGTCCAATCTTCATCAAGATATCGCCAACCAGCAACCAGCAATCCAGCAAACAGCAAAAGCAACAGCAGGGACACCAGCAGCCACCACGTCTCTTGAGGCTCTGGCATTTTTTTAATACTCTCTCAAGAGTATAAAAAATTCCAAATGTAAACTA